TATACATATTTTATGTATCAGGCTAGGTACTTAAATTTCAAGGGTTTGTTTCTACCAGCAAAAATGAAAAAAATCATGCTGCCTTAGCTTAGTAGTATGTAGTGATTATAAGCAAATTGACAATGGTCTGGTGCTTAGATGATGCAGTCTTAAATATTGCACTTTTGCCTGAGTCTTATGAACACTAAAGTCATAAAAATTAGAAAATTGGTGTGATTTTAACTTGTGTAAGAAGAAATCGAAGAACCTAAATTCTGCCTAAATCCTTGTTATTCATCTGTGTTAGGGTCAGGTACTTGTGAAAGAGCAGTGGGACCTTTACAATACATCTTTCCAGCCCCCAGCATCTCAAACTATTTTATTCCCCAGTGATCAGATGAGGAGTGACTGGGGGTGCACACTCTCATGATTTTTATTAGCATTAGCATGTTGAACTGAGGCAACTAGACTGGCCACATTAACAGATTACCCTCTTTGATACAAAACAGAAAGGGGCAAACATACAAAACAGTAATATGAAATCGCCACGTGGAGATAAAATGCCCTCCATTAGGGCATTTTATCAGTGAATTCTCATCAAGGCAGCTGGTAGATGACCTGATGCAGACATTTGAATATAAAATTCTCTAGTTTAGTCAGACCTTCATTTTTAAAAAGTACCACACTGGCTTGCATTTCTTCTTGTAACGCACAAGATGTGTCTTAAAAAGTGCATCTGAGAGCAGAGCAGCCACACAGAGATCCACACACAGGGGACAGGCACGTGAGGTGGTGCCAGTGGTCTGTGCTGGTGGAACTTGAGCCAGCAGTCCTCTGGCTCAGGCATCATCTTTGAAATCCTGAAGAGACTACATGTCTTTGAACACAGTTTAATACATTTCCCTCTTCCTCAAACAGAGATTTTGTTTTTTCCTTCATTTCACTTCACTATTTTCAGCATAAGCACTTCAGTAATAAATGTGTTACATTACCTCTACTTGAAGTAGAGCCCTTTCTCTGTTGGTTCCTTATCTGGGTGCTGGTACAGAAGTTTTAGTTATTTTTTATTATCTTTTTGCTGAAAAGTTGAGCCTTTTTAGTGATGTGCATGAACTAGTTAAGAAATTGCATTTCAAATGAAAAATGAGCTTCCTAGAAGGATAGGACAAACCTCCTTATCCAAAAGAAACTGGAGCATTACAGTCACCTAACAGGAGTTTTTATTTGAAAAAGTCACCTTTAAAATGGTGGCACAGGCTTTCAGAGTTGTTTCTTCTTCAATGAAATAGATACTTGTGTCCTGTACATGCGGAAGTACCCAGTGATGGTACTGTTTGGAAAGAAGAACAGGGAAGATATTTCGACTTCCCTTTCTTTGTAACAGTCTCTCCTGTGAGTTAATATCATTACAGTACAGCCAAGGCGTGGACCAGAGTTTTCAAACTGGCCGGTGTTACATGTGCATGAATAATCTTTGGTGCAGCTGTTCCCCAGCC